GTCACAGAAGGCTCCAACTATGAAGGACGTAGCTTGTCAAACAGACACACAGAAAGGCAGCTTACGATGCAAAACTGTTATCCAATCACAGCAGTGGGTGTTTACTTCCAAGTCTTCAATGCGGCACACCCATAAAAACCAGCGTTTCTCGAGCAGGCCTCAAAACCAGGGTAGAAAATAGTTAGAGCTCAATACTGTAATCACAAAACGTTTTACCATAATAATGCAGGGAACCACTCGTTATACATTATAGGAGTGCACGGGTACTATTTTGGTGATGTAATTTGTTTCACGCGCAGTGTACACGGACCCTCGCGTATGAGTAAAAACCGAAGTATAACCAAAGTAAAAACTTTGGCCTTAAAGCAAGCTAAACATACGCAGCGCGCACGTTTGTATTGGTGCAGAATGAGAGAGACACTTACAGCCTAGCGCATTTCACCCAGTCTGCTAGTTTCACTTCTGCTTTAAATAAAGTTGTGTATGCTTGACGTTTAAAATAAATGCTGTTTATAGTGAAAGCCCCTATAATTTTTGTTTGTTTTATATTTACGATTTAGTTTCATTTTTACGAGTACGAGTACAGGAGCGCAGTATCGGCCCGATACCGATACCAGTATCGGTGCATCCCTAAAATCCATTGACTACATCCTGCTGCACATTGGTGACAGAATAGTACATGCCCACATGCAACATGGTTGTAACTTTAATGCCCTGGGATAATAAAGAAGAGGCTGTGCATTACAGTGATTTTACCATGGTTATAAGGGCTATAAGGCACGACACGAAGGCTCATGTTAAATCACTGTAACCGAGGCCTCAAGTTCTGTATTGCTTTTATATAATAGGGCTTTATGATGAACGGGACAGAATCATGGAATCCTGACATAAAAACGGAATTATTGTATAACATGGAATTTGGCAAAGTTTGGATGAATAAATCAAAAAGTAGTGCTGTACCATTTTTCAAATCTCAATATGGACAAGTGTCTGTTAATAATAAATCAAAAAACGACATACTTTCAGTTAATTAGATACGCTTTTTGATTACTAAAATTGTATTTAACCATTTGAACAGAATCCAGAAAAGTTACAAATGAAAAAAAAAAAACGAATCCAAAAGAATAAAATGGAAAGAATTTTTTAAAAAATGGGTAATTTGGAAAACATTTAATATTTCATAGGGCCCTAATACCCTAATATAACAGCACCAGCAATATATTATAAGACACTAATATATATATATATATATATATATATATATGTTATTTAATATAATAATTAATTATCTTTAAAAAAAAAAAATTTTATGGTCAAGTAATGTAGTTTATTAGTCTAATTGTACATTTTATTGTAGGTAGTAGGTGTTAATGTGCAGTCACACCTGTGCATATATTGGTTATTTTACAACAATTAAGCACCCTCTCCCAAATTTTCATTATCATAATGCAAAAAATAAATCAATAGAAAAAAAAAAGAAAGAAGTAAAAGTCATTACTGTATTGTGAGACATTGAGTTCTAGGGCTCTCAATATTTGTATACTCATTTATTTAGTAAAAATGAAATGTAATACATAGATTTTTTTTTTCCAATTTAATATTTTAATACTTAATATATTAAATGCTTCATTATTCTGAAAACTATGTCATGATAAAAAAATTAATAAATAAAGGCCAAGAAGGTTAACGTTTAAAAAAATTAAGACATAATTTTCTTTAAGCGAAATATATTAAATTCTTCTGATTTTTGGGGTAAAATATGGCCTGGAAGTGCTTTTGACAGGCTTCATGAGAGTCACCTCTTTGCATTAATCTTGTTACCTTTAGACGACCTCTGCCCTGGGCCGTCAGCGCTCATCCGAAGCGTAAGGTAGAAGACGTCAGGCCAATCTTCTGGGCTTCCCGACCCAAAAGCTACATCTACAGGACGCAAGACTGGGATGATTTCCCCAACGGAAGATGGTACATACATTTAAATGTTTCTATTCTGAGTTTTATGTTTGGGTAGTTAGAGAAAAGTGAAGGACCGTGTTTGCCGTCTTGTCAGGGGTAACTCCTCATCACCAGCTTTTGGCGAGCTGACAGACTACTACCTGTTCTACCTGAAGAGTAAGTCTCCCAAAGAGGCCCTCCTGCAGATGTGGGGTGAGGAACTAATGAACGAGGGGAGTGTGTATGAAGTCTTCACCAACTACATCACTGGCCAAACCAATCCCAGTGGACACAAGGTAGAGTCGTACAGCCAATGTCAGAATACAGCCATGCACAGCTGGACTGTATGAGGGTATGAATAAGAGCAGAGTGCTGTTAACTGTGCTAGGTGTATTTGTGTAGGCACAGGTGATTTATGTGAAGGAACATCGAGTGATACACAAATACAGAGCACAGCATGAACCAGAAGTCAAGACGAGGAAGAACTTATGAAGGCGTGTTGTTTGGATCAACACAAAGGAAGCTAATTATTTGTGGTTGCCAAACGATGTCACAACTAGGCACATTTTGCACATTAATATTGAATTCAACTGATGTGCAGAGGTCTGTTTATCAGCAAACGTGATTCATTCATTCAGACCGCTTAACTTAGTGATTGATATCGGGATGTGACGAGACTTTCAACTAGCATAAATTGACTGAACAATGATATACAGTTTCCGTGATGTAATATTTTAATCATACTGCCCCATTCATGCCATCAATATTCGAGTCCTGTATGTGTCTTAAATAATTTATATACAAACACTACTCCATTATTGCTTTCTGCTTTGCGTAGGTCATGTGTCTGCCGTGGAACGACGATCCTCTGGCTCCGGAGACCAACCTGCTGAAGGATGAGTTGGAGAAGGTGAACCGCAGAGGGATTCTGACCATTAACTCTCAACCCAACATTAACGGCAAACCCTCATCCGACCCCATTGTGGGCTGGGGCCCTGCGGGGGGATACGTCTTTCAAAAGGTCAGCAAAAATATGCAACAGCGCTATGAGAATAGGTCACTCGAAAATGAAAAGCCAGGCATATTTTATTCTGTGCGATGTAAAATAAGATGTTTTCAAGAAAGAGCGAGTGAACTGCTTTTTCCATAAAATGAAAGGTGAACGAGGACTGGGTTTGTTGAGCTCAAAAAATGACCATATGACTTGTGTGTTGTATTCTGAAGTCTTCTGATAGTTTTGTGTGAGGAACAAACTGAAATTTAAAGTGCCCCTATTATGCCTTTTCGAATATTACCTTTCATCAGTGTGTCATGTAGCTGTATGTGAACATAAACTATCTGCAAAGTTGTAAAGCCGATAAATAGTGCGCGATAAA